CATTCTGAGATATCCTCTATATATTGAAGGAGAAGCATTGGAAGACCATTTTTGATGATGTGTAAACACCCTATTTTTTCCAGCTTTTTTAAATAAATAAAATTCTGTAATACTTACTCCTATCCTTCTAGCCAAACATCCTTATAACCAAACACTCCTACTATTCTACTAGCCAAACATAATTATAATTATCCTCTATATATTAAAGGAGAAACATTTTAAAACAAATTTGCTTACATGTTATCACCATGATTTTTCTCAGTATTTTTTAGTTAATTAATTCTTATTTTTAAACCGTTACTATTCTAATTGCCAAACACATGTTTTAGTTATTTTTGAGGTAACTCAAATTAACTCTATTGCCAAACACATGTAAAGTATATATTAATATTAGTCGAATCGATCAAAACAATTGGAAAAAATGTAGATTAAATCATTAGTAAATGGTGTTTACTATGATTCTTAACAAACAAACAAAACTGAACCATTAGAAAAACAATACAATAAGAGTCTTTTATATAGATGATTCAATTTAAATACAACTCAAAAAGTTTATGAATAACTATTATCATCGATGTTTCAAAATTTTATTTTTTTTCTTAGTAATTATATCACCAAAGTTTAATATACTAAACTTCATCTAACTAACTTACATAAAAATATTTGTAATACGTCGTCACAGATAAAAACACACTTTAGTTGATCTAATGTTGTAAACTTCCAAATGATGTTCCATTTAAAAGGGATAAAAATATTCAAACCATAAATGAGATTTTTAAAAAGTGTAAAAATTGTAATTAACTAATCAAATTTTTTCTTTCTAAATTTGATTCAAACCGATTTTATGTCTAATTACTTACCATCAATCAAATTATAAATTAATTGGATCTAGAAAGGAAACCATATAAATTTGAACAAATAATATGTCTATTACGTGAATATGTTGTTTTTAAAATTTTGATTTTTGAAACGATATTAATTTTTTCTTTTACGTAAAAATTCAATATTAATTAAATTCAAAAAAATCTCTTAAATGATTTTGTTGTTTGGTTTTCGGAGATTTACACAATCTTCCATTTTCGTATGTTGAGATTATGATATAAATTTAGTGCATTTTATTGATTAAGTGTTGTATATCATAAAGTTTCACACATATTTATAGAAATAAATGTACTTAATTTTTAAAAAAAATCTTTGATGTATCACTAATTATGATTGGTCTTATGATATGTATGATTTTTTTTATTGAATAAAAGTTAAAAATATATTGTTTTTGTTATCTTACAGGTGGAACACATTTCTATACAAAATGGTCTCAAAATTCAAAAATAAAACGGGTTTTTGGTTTTGTTTAATACTTTTCCTAATAACTACAGTTGGTTTTTAAATTAAAAATATATTGATTTACTTGATAGTCATTTTGTTCTGCATATAACGCGGGTATTTACCTAGTAGTAATAAAATTTGAAAAAAGGGATACGGGAATTGTGATTAATAGGCCTCCAAACTTTTTTTTTGAAAACACGCTTTGGGAAAAAAAAAAATAATCTCCTCTCCTCTCTCACTCGCGACTCTCCAGAAACCCTCTGATAAAGCAAGAACCCCAGCACAAGATATGAACAGAAATATAGTGCACAACACAGAGCAGTTCCAATAAAAACAATATGTCTTTATTGCTATTCACAACAGCTGCTTTTACAAAGCAACTCGTGCAATATATATATTACACGAACAGTCTGATAGAACAGATTCACAATCCTATTCTATCCAGAACGTGTTCCTAATCTACCCAAGAATGAAACGCAACAACAGTTACGAAGCCATAGCAACTACTACACACAGCACCTGCTGTAACAGATAAATTACAAGAATACTTCTATAGAACAGATTCAACAATCCTATTCTACCCATAATTACGCAACACCACTGACTGTGATTTGCTCCTGAACATATTCCTAATCTACCCAAACATGTAACACAACAGCAGTTGCGAAACCTCTGTTCTTCACTCAATACTCCAATCTCTTTTTCTGGGTTTGAGTTCTTTGAGTTCTTCGAATATCTTTCTCTCTCACACTATTTTTTCTGCAAGAAGAACTGTGGGGGTCGGATTTCACCCCTATGAGATCGATATGGCGATGAGATCAACTCCACAACGTCTTGACAAAATCAAAGCGAGTCTACAAAGGTCCAGTCTGAATTTAGGCCCAAAATGATATTAAATCCATAAGCAAAATGGATTT